CCCAGGCCCAGCAGCCATGGCCAAAGTGCTGCCCAAGTTGGCTCTGGCAGGGCTGTCTTGCAGCTGCTGCCCATGCCTGTGCCCTGTGCCGCCCAGGCTGTGCTACGGTGTCCCTGCCCTGCGCCTCTGTCCCTGCAGGCTGTTGGCATCCCCCAACTGCCCCACCTGGCTGGCCCCTTCCTTTGCTGACAGCTCTGCCTCCTGCCTGTCTCTGCCTGCCCGCACAAAGCCTGGGGCTGATACCAAAAGGGTTCATTCCATGTTTACCCTGCCTGTGAACTTTCAGCACAGGAACAAGGCATACAGGGGCTGCTTTCCCAGCAAGGATGGTTGGAAGAGAAGAAGACATCTGGCTCAGGAGTGCAGGGAATAGGGAAAACAAAGACTGAATCTTTGAATTTCGGGTGGGTTTTTTGGAAATGGGTAAAATGTAATTCACATTTAGGGACTGTATATAAGCATCACACTGGTAGAATTCCCTGTCCACATTTTTAGGAGTTATCCCATGTTGGACCTTAGGCCTGAACAAATGATACCCTCTGAAATAGCAAGAGAGTGTTCAGGAGACTTATTCTGATATTTCAGAGATTTGGTGACAGTGGTTCCTCACAGAACCAAGGAGTCAGCTGTGACACTTTTCAAACTCATGGAACAAAAGGTCCATGGTGACACAGCAGAACCCCATGGAACCAAAATCCCTTTTGGCACATTGGGGCCATATTGAAACAATGGTCCATTGTGATACTGCGTATCCAAGACCATTGTGACCCTGAGAAACCTCTTGGAACCAAGGGGCCATTGTGACACAGCAAGGCCTGGTGGAACCAATAGTCCATTGTGACTCTGCAGAACCTCAAGGAACCAAGGTGACCGTGTTCTACTGTGGAACCTCATTGAACAAAGGGTCCATGGTGACACTGCAGAACCAAGGAGACTGCTGCTGGCAGTGTGAAAGCTCGTGGAACCAGAAGCCTATTGTGACACTGCAAGGCCTCATGGGACCAAGGTTCCCCTGTTAAACTGTGTGGCCTCATGGAACCATGAGCAATTGTGACACAGTGTGGCCACACAGAGCCAAGGGGCCACTGTGACCCTGCGGGTCCAAGGAGACCATTGGGACTGAGGAACCTCATGGCACCAAGAGTCCATTCTTCCACTGTGGGGCGCTGTGGAAGTAAGGGGAGCACAGTGACATTGCGGGGCCTCATAGAGCAATGGAGACTGTTCTGACACTTTGGGACCCACTGGAACCAAGGGGCCTTTGAAGCATGGCAGGGCCTGATGGAATCAAGGGGACTATAGGGAACACTCTGCGTGTCCATGGGATGAAGGGTCCATTCTGACACCCTGGGACCAAGGATACCATTGTGACACTCTGGGCATCATGGAACCAAAGGTCCATTGTGACCCAGCAGGGCTTCATGGAACCATGGAGGCCATTTATAGACTCTGAGGCCTTGTGAAACCAAAGGGCCATTGTGGCACTTCAGAGCGTTTTGGAGCCAAGGGGACCATAGTGACACTGTGGGGCTCAGTGAAACCAATGGTCTGTTGTGACACTTCAAGTCCTTATGGGATCATGGAGACCATTGTGACACTGCAAGGCCTCATGGAAGCAAGGAACCATTGTGACACTATGAAGTCTTGGCAGGCCAAGGGGCAGTTGTCACACTGTGTGGCACCATGGAACCAAGGAGGCCGTTGTGACACTGCAGGGCCCCATGGAACTAAGAAACCATGAAACAGTGCAAGACCCCATGGAATCAAAGGTCCATTGGGACATTGTGGGGCCTCATGGAATCCTGGAGGTCGTGATGACACTTGGAGGCCTCGTTGAATCAAGGGGCTCTGCAGGGCCTCATGGAACCAAGGTGATCCTTCTGACATTATGAGTCCCCATGGAACCAAGGGTCCATTGTGATACTGCAGCACCAAGGAGACCCCTGTGACACTGCCAGGCCTCGTGGAAGCCAGGCCCTTTTTGCTTCCCTACCTGGGGCTTTATTAGCAGCCATTGCGGCTGCAGCCATGGCCCATTATGGCAGTGTGGATCCAAGGACATCATGGTGACACTGTGGGACCTCATGGATCCATGGGGCCATTGTGGCACTGAAGAACTTCATGGAACCCAGGGTCCATTGTGACACAGCAGGGCCTCATTGGAACAAAGGAACCATTGCTGACAGTAAAGAAACTCATGGAACCAAGGGGCTGTGGTGACACAGCAGGGCCACATGGAACCCAAGAGACCAGTGACATTTAGGGACCTCATGGAACCAGGATCCATTGTGACACTGCAGAAACAAGGAGACCATTGTTGATGCTATGGAAGCTCATGGAACCAAGCAGCCATTGTGACACTCCAGGGTCTCGTTGAACCAGGCAGACCATTGTGACACAACAGAACCTCATGGCACTGAGGGTTTATTGTGACACAGGAGGGCCCATGGAGCCAATTGTCCATTGTGACAATCTGGATCTGAGGAGACCATGGTGACACCATGGAAGCTCATGGAAACATGGGTCCATTGTGACACAGCAAGGCCTCGTGGAACTATGAGGAGACCATGGAGACATCATGGAACCTCGTGGAAGCAAGGAGACCATTGTGATATCATGGAACCTCATGGAAGTAAGGGTCAATTGTTAGAGTCCAGCACCAAGGAGACCATTGTTGACAGTACAGAACCTCATGGGACCAAGATTCCAATGTTATGCAGTGGGGCTTCATGGAACCAAGGAACCACTGTGACACAGCAGGGCCACATGGAACCGATGGTCCATGGAGATACTGCAGATCCAAGGAGACCATTGTGATGCTGTGGAACCTCCTGGGCCAAGGGGCCATTGTGACAGTGTGGGGCTGCATGGAGCCAAATATTCATGGTGACACAGCAGGGCTGCTTGTGACCAATTGTTCATTGTGACCCTGCAGATCCAAGAGACCAGGGTGACACTCTGGCAGTTCATGGAACCAAGGGGCTGTTGTGACACACCAAGGCCTCGTGGAACCATGGAGAGCATTGTGGCAGTGCAGAACCAAGGAGGCCATTTTGACAGTACGGAACCCAATGGAACAAAGGGTCCATTGTTCTACAGCAGGGCCTCATGGAACCAAGGGGCCATTGTGAAACTGGGGCATAATGGACTCAAGGACACCACTGATACTGAAATCCACTGGATAGAAACTTCTGAACAGTTTTGAGTATTTGAAAGCAGGTATTCTTTATTACAGTATGGTGGTCATTTGGGCCATCCTTCCTCCATTGGAGTGCATTAAGCATTGAATGAACAGAGTTTTTATTACACACACTGATTACGTATCCATTAGCTATCTCCAGTTCCTTTGAGTTTATTTGACATAGTTGAACCCCCTTATCACAAATCCTTTCATCGTTCTTTGGATTTTGTCTTCAACATCCAGTGTTCTTTTAGGTGGCTGTTCCTTGAGCCCCCCCTTTTGAGTATGGCAATATTATTGTTTTGCATAACTTCTGCTTTGTCAGCCTTGCAGAGCTGAGCTGGCATCCTGCTTGCATTTTGTGTGACTTCTGTTTGCCAGAGGTGCGTCCTCAATCAGTTTCTCCAAGGCTGTCCTGTTCTACTGTCCTTGACAAGAGTAAATGTTGTTCTGGTCTCCTGTCCTTGTCTCAGTGCTCGCCCCGCATGAGGCGTCTGCAACCCCCCCCAACCTATGGGCCTGGGGTGGGCAAGTGTTCCTGGGGGACAGGGATGGGACAGCCGGGCTGGACTGACCCAAGGGATGTTCCATTCCATGTCACACCATGATCAGAAATCAAGTTAGAGAAGCGGGAGGGCAAGAGTGGTAGGGAATATTTCTTTTTTTTAAGATATTTTTCTTTCAAAAAAGCAGCTGCAAATACAGAATCCTCTCCCACCACAGGGTGCTAAAACATTTTCTGCTGATAGGAGATTTGCTTTTCTTCTGTTTATGGTCTTTTCTTTTTGTGGTTGGTTTGTTTGTGGGGTTTTTGTGTTGTTGGGGGTGGGTGTTGCTTTGGTTCTTTTTGGTTGGGTTTGGGTTTTTCACTATTGAACTGCCTTTCTTCTGATGCATAAGTTTTTCCTGCCCTTTCTTGCGGCTTGCTTGGCACCTGCTGGCCTGGTCACTTGGTGTCCCTCCGTGCAGGGACAAACAACCTCCTGCAGGTGGGGAGAGGCCAGTGCTGGCAATGGTGGTTGCAGGGGCTGGTGTGGGACAATTGCCCTGGGGCACCTTCCCAGGCTGTCCCAGAACAGAGACACAGCCCAGGTCCTTCTCTGCTGCTGCCCCAGGTCCATGTCAGGAGCTCTGGCTGTGCCAGGACACTGCTGTGAGCCCCCCCTGCACACTCCCCCCTGCCCCAGGCACTGGACTTTGCTGTGCCAGGGCATTCCTGGAGCACATTGCTGACAGCAGCTCTGGAAGGGAGCAAAGCCTCCCTGCCCTGCCCTCAGGAGATGCCCTTTGCTGCTGGAGCTGCTGTGCTGGAGCCCAGCTGTGTCCCAGCAGTGCCCATGGCCTTGCAGGGCCTGTGGCCACAGCAGGGACACGCAGCAGGACAGTGACCAAGCTGCCAGAACACTCCGGCCTCACAGCCACAGCAGGGCTGGCAAGGACAGGGTGGAGTTGGGCAGAGCAGCTCTGAAAGGACCAATCCCTGCTGCTCCCTGGCCGTGCTGCTCTGCTGGGACTCTTTTCCCCTTCTTCCCCCTAACTTCACACAGGGCTCAGAGCTGGAATTCCAGATAAAACAGGCACTGCAAGGAAGCTTCTTTTCTTCAAATGTAGCGATAGCCCAATCCCTGGTTTACAGAGCTTGTGGGTTAAATTCAAGAGAAAGACAGTGAATTAAATGGTTATTAAATAACTTCATCAAGTACAACATTATGACTAAAAACCCCTCTGACCCCTACCAAAGACCCAGGAAGGCCTGTTGGGCCTGTCATGAGTTCCATTCCAAAAGCTATGCAAAAGAAAACAGGCTATTTTTTGCTTCTCAAAAGCAGCTAGTCATCATTTTCCTCAGGGCATCCTTGAGCTTCTGGTTTCTCAGGCTGTAGATGAGGGGGTTCAGGGCTGGAGGCACCACTGAGTACAGAACTGACAGGGCCAGATCCAGGGATGGGGAGGAGATGGAGGGGGGCTTCAGGTAGGCAAAAAATGAGGTACTGATGAACAGGGAGATCACGGCGAGGTGGGGGAGGCAGGTGGAAAAGGCTTTGTGCCGTCCCTGCTCAGAGGGGATCCTCAGCACAGCCCTGAAGATCTGCACATAGGAGAGAACCATGAACACAAAACAACCAAATGCTAAGAAGGTAGTGAAAACAGAAACTCCAAGTTCCCTGAGGTAGGATTTGGAGCAGGAGAGCTTGAGGAACTGTGGGATTTCACAGAAGAACTGGCCCAGGGCACTGCCGTGGCACAGGGGAAGGGAAAATGTATTGGCTGTGTGCAGCAGAGCATTGAGAAAGGCACTGGCCCAGGCAGCTGCTGCCATGTGGGCACAAGCTCTGCTGCCCAGGAGGGTCCCGTAGTGCAGGGGTTTGCAGATGGACACGTAGCGGTCGTAGCACATGACGGTCAAGAGAAAATACTCTGCTGAAATGAAGAAGAGAAAGGAAAATAGCTGTGCAGCACATCCGGAGTAGGAAATGGTCCTGGTGTCCCAGAGGGAATTGTGCATGGCTTTGGGGACAGTGGTGCAGATGGAGCCCAGGTCGCTGAGGGCCAGGTTGAGCAGGAAGAAGAGCATGGGCGTGTGCAGGTGGTGGCCGCAGGCTACGGTGCTGATGATGAGGCCGTTGCCCAGGAGGGCAGCCAGGGAGATGGCCAGCAAGAGGCAGAAGTGCAGGAGCTGCAGCTGCCGTGTGTCTGCCAATGGCAGCAGGAGGAAGTGCCTGATGGAGCTGCTGTTGGACATTTGGTGCCTTTGGGTACAGGTATTTATAGAGCATTAACACCTGCCTGGGAAGGAAATGGCAGTGCCAGATTGGACATTTCTTCACTCTGGGGATCGTGGACTGTTGAAAGAAGATTTGAATAGCTGGACCAAAGCTTTAAGTCTATCATATGTATTTTAGTTGAAATTCCCTTCAAAATTAATTGTCTTCCTGTGAGGGAACTTTGCTAAACTTTATTTGAGTTCGGGTTTGTGAGCTGAGTTTCTGCCTCATCTTCAGCACTGCTCTCAGCCTGAACACTCTGGAGCCCAGAAGGAAAAGAGGGCTCCCTGTGCCCCAGTGCACGCAGCGCTAGTCGCTAAACAGATGCCCTTTGTTCATTTCACCTCTTTTGATTTAAGCGTGATCACACCTAAAACTTTCTTGAAAACAAAGTGGACTTTGTGAATTCTCCATTTTAAAACTAATTTTCTCCAAACCCTTTCCTCTTTCCCTGTGCAGCTGGACAGGATGGGATACCAAGGGTAGGTCTGTCTCTCTGCTGTCTGGAGTTGTGCCGGCTGGGAGCTGTTTTTCTCTATCCAAGCCTTGTCCCTGCCAGTGCTGCCAGAGCCCAGCCCAGCCCTGGGGGCTCAGCTCTGCCCTGCAGACCCCTCCCAGCACAGAGCACTGCCCAGGGGCATCTCCCTGGCAGCAGGGCCTTAAGGGCAGGCCAGACAAACAGAGATGCTGCAAGCCAAGGTGCTGCTGCTGCTGTCTGTAGGGAGAGGAGGCTGAGGAGGCACTTTCTGAGGGTGATCTGAGGCCCATCTGCTGATGCCCAGGCTCACAGTGCAGGAGTCTCAGTGACACAACCAAAGCTGACAGCCCCTTTCCCTTCCCTTGGGGAGGAAGCTGAGAGCAGCCCTGGCCATGCAGCACCATCTCCACAGCAGGAGGAATCTGCCCTGATGGGGGTGGCTCCTTCCACCTCCAACTTCTCCCCTGTAGCGTCCATGGGGAGCTGCCAGGCAGGCTGAGAGCTGCCCCTGGCAGGTGGCACATGCCCTGGGCTGGCCAAGAGCCCTGAGGGCTGCAGGAGCTGCTCTGCAGGACAGCCCTGGGCAGCCCTGGCTGCAGCCCCAGCTTCAGCCCCTGCAGCCGTCCCTGGCAGCAGGAGCCGTCCTGCCCTGTCCCTCTGACGGTTCCCGGGGCAGCCCCGCTCTGCAGCACATTCTCATCCTCCTCCTCCTGTGCCACAGAGAATGTGGGAGAGTCCTCCTGACACATCCCCCAGGCTGTGGGGCGTGCTGGCTTCAGGAGATCCCTCCAGGAGCACAGGGGACATTGCCCTGCACCCACACACTCACCATGCACAGGGCTGTGAAGATCTTTCCCCAAGTGAAGTCTCAGCTCAATGTCTTCCCAATCCTGATTGCCTTCAGCCTGTCTCTGCCTGGCTCCTGTCCTTCAGTGCCTGCAGGCAGAGCTCTCAGCCCTGCTGGGCTGGAAGAGGAGCTGGCCCTGGCAAGAGCCGTTCCTTTAAAGCTCAGCAGCACAGAAACAGCACAAGGATTTTAATGAGCCTCTTCGGGATTTGGTGTTGTTTACATCAGACTCAGTCCCTCAGAGAGTGTTCAAAAACTTCTCAAGAACTCAAAATTAAATTTAGACATAGAAGTTCCTTGAAGTTTTAATGAGTCCCACAGATGGACACAACTGAGAGAGTGTCCCCAGGTTCCAGTTAGAGCAGAACACTGGAGGCAGTATTGACAGCTGGGGACAAAGAAGGCCAAGGTGTCTCTGGTGCTGAGCAAAGCTGGATGTGTTTGAGGAATGCAAAGGGCCAAGGCCTGAGCCCCAGCCCCTGGCCAGGCAGATGCTGTCCCTCCCTCCTTGCTCAGGGCTCTTGCCGGGATGGGCACTGGCATGTGGGGATGTGCAATGGCAAGGGCAGGAGCATGGGGCGGCCCCTGCCAGGCTGCTGAGCAGGGGCAAGGAGGCAATGAGGCCCCAGGCCTGCAAGGGTCACTTGTCTCCTGTTCCTGCCTCAGGCCCAGGCCCAGCAGCCATGGCCAAAGTGCTGCCCAAGTTGGCTCTGGCAGGGCTGTCTTGCAGCTGCTGCACATGCCTGTGCCCTGTGCAGCCCAGGCTGTGCTACAGTGTCCCTGCCCTGCGCCTCTGTCCCTGCAGGCTGTCGGCATCCCCCGGCTGCCCCACCTGGCTGGCCCCTTCCTTTGCTGACAGCTCTGCCTCCTGCCTGCCTCTGCCTGCCCACACAAAGCCTAGGGCTGACCCAGACTCCTTCTGGAGGATGTGTTGCACCACAGCTCTGCCCTGTGAGGGAAATTCTTTTGTCCTTGTGTCCAGTCCAGATCTCCCCAGTGGCAATTTACATTAATTTTTTTCTTTTTTTCTCCCTGTTTACTATTGTGTTAAAAGGATCCACCATGTCTGTAACCACCCTTCAGTCCCTCCCAGGGCTCTCCTCTACTGTCCTCAGTCCCCACCCCACTGAGCACAGAGCGCCTCTGTCCCTGTACAGTGCTCATGTGCTTGAGGCCATGGGTGCCTGGACAAGAAGGACGGTTCTTTTCTACAGGAAGGAACCCACAGAGCCCCAGGGGTTTGAAGGAAAATCAGAGCCACTCACCAGATTCCAAGGCCAGCCAGACCTGTCTGTCCTTGCAGCTTTTGTCTGAAAGCAACCCTTGGATATTTGTGTAGTTTTGGAGGTGGAGTTTCATTTCAGCCACACGTGCCTGGACCAGAATGACAGTTCTTCTCCACAGGAAGGAAAGGGCAGAGCCCCAGTGTTTCAAAGGCTGATTAGAGGCAGCTCCAAGGAGGCCAAGGCCAGCCAGACCTGTTTGTCTTGGCAGCTTTTGTCTGGGAGCAGTCCTTGGGTAGATGGAGTTTGGGAGGCCAAATCCCAGTTTTGTCCATGGGCACCTTGATGAGAAGGACAGTTCTTTTGCATAGGAAGGAAAGTACAGAGCTCCAGTGTTTTACAGGCAGATGAGAGCTGGCCCTCAGGAAACCAAGGGAACCCAGACAGTCCTGGCAGCTTTTGTCTGGGAGCTATTCTAGGAAATAAGGAATTTTGGAGGTGGATTCCCACTTTTGGCTATGGAGACCTGCACTTGAAAGAATATTTTTCCATGGAAAGAAGAGCTTGGCCCCCCATTGTTTTGAAGGCAGATGAGAGGTGGCCCCCAAGATGCCAAGGCCACCCAGAGCTGTCTATTCTTGCAGGTTTCATACAGGAATCATCCTTCGATAAAACTGAATTTGGATGTAGAATCCCAATTTCAGCCATGAACACCTGGAGGAGAAGAGTTCTTTCCCACATGAAAGAAAGCACTGAAGTCCAGGGTTTTAGGGGCAGTTTAGGGGCACCCTCAACATGCCAAGGTCAGCTGCACCAGTCAAGCCAAGCCAACCAGAACTTTTCTATGTTCTCTGATCCTTGGGTCCCTGCAGCATCACAGTGGCCCCTTGGTTCCATATGGCCCCATAGTATAGCAAGAGATCTTTGTGTCCCTAAGTCCAGTGATATCACAGTGGCCCTGTTGGGTCCTCATTGGCACAATGGCCCCTTGCTTCCATGAGGCCTTGCAGTGTCAAAATGGTTTCCTTGGTTCCATGGGACTGTGCAGAGTACCACAATGGCCCCTTGGTTCTATTGGGCTCCCCAGGATCACAATGGACCCTTGGTTCCTCAGGACATGGCTGTGGCACACTGGCCCCTTGTTGCCATGGGGACTCAGAGTGCCAGAACGGTCTCATTGTTTCCACGAGTCCCTGCAGTGTCACAAAGAGCTCCTTTGTTCCTCCTGCCGAGCCCCTTGACTCAATGAGGCCTCAAAGTGACATAATGGCCTCCAGGATTCTATGAGGCCCCACAGGGCTCAATGAAGCCCTGAAGTACGGAATGGCCTTTTGATTCCATTGGGCTATTCACTGTGACATGAGTTCTTAGTTCCACTGAGCTCTGCAGTGTCACAATGGTCTCCTTGGTTCCCCAGAGTCAGAATGTCCCCGTGGTCTCATGGAGCCCCACTACGATACCCTTGATTCAATGAGGCCCTGCCGTGCTACAATGAGCCCTTGGTTAAACGAGGCCCTGCAGTGTCACAATGGCCCCTTGGTTCCAGTGGGTCCTGAAGTGTCATAATGGTCTCCATGGTTCCATGAGGCTCTAGAATGTCACAATGGACTTTTGACTCCATAAGTTTCCATACTGCAAACAACAGTCTCCTTGGTTCCACAGTGTCCAAAGCGACCCTTGGTTCCATGACGTGCCTGGCCTCCCACAGCCTCTCAGAGTGCCTTCTCTCCCTCAAGGTCCCCAACAGCCCTTCATGGCCTCTCAGAGCCCGTCATGGCCCCTAAAATCTGCTCATGGCCCCTCCAAGCCCCTCTTGGCCTCTCATGACCCCTCACGATCCTTCACAGTTCACAGCCCCTCATGACCCATAGCATCCCTCTCATCCCCTCCCAGAGCCCCTCATAACCCCTTGTTATAAATTGAACTGACAATTTGCCAAGTAAAATCAATTGAGAATTTATTGATTACAGTGGGTAAAGCAATAAGCAAATCAGCTCTGGGCGACAGGGGAGTCTCCGTTCCACCGCTGCCGCGCTCTTCTGATTTTTCGTGGAGTTCTTATACAGTCCTGCTTCCGGGTTGATGTGTAGTACTCTGTGTATTCTTCTTTTGTGTCTAGGTGGTCGCAGCCCACCTCCCGGAGGTCTGAAGATGAAGGTTGGTATTTTTCCTTTGTCTGATTCCTGGAATTTTAAGCTGTGTTTCTGGAATCTTAAGTTTACTGAGCGGATAAGCTAATACTGTGTTATCAATCATAGCAAGCCCACCACCCAACAGTTTACTCAGCAGATAAACAAATGTTTGTGAAACCCATTGTCTTTGGTTTCACCTTCTTAATCCTTTTAAGTCTGGAAATTTATTAGGCAACATTCTTACTGGAATAACTTTGTCAGCTTTGATGAACAAACTTAAAGTTTTAACCCATTACAA